CGCACCCCCCCCCCCCCCCCCGCCCCCCCCCCCCGAGTCCCTCCCTCACGCCCCTTGCCGAGCAACGCTACACTCAGCGCGCCACATATCCCCGGCGCTATTTATCTCTATCTCCTTCTCCCGACGAGTTTCTCGCACAGTATGTATGCATGTATATGCATATTTATATCCTCGGGCATGGCCGGCAGTCGAGCGCCGCCGGATACGGCGATTCTCGCGTCCCGTCGGAGACAAATCAAGAGCGATGCCCGCCGAGTTCATTCCCGCGATTGCGCGCACGTGGGTCAGTCAGTCGCGCACGAATACATGAATTTGAGGGAGTCGAACCGATGTACAAATTGCCATCGTCCCCGGCCAATGAAAATCCTCGAAACCCAGGCCTTGCGCCCATGTTTTATTGATGGTCGAGAGCCGTATTACTCAACCTTCCCGATCGTTCCCAATCCTTCCTACAGCGGACTTTTGGGGCTCGAGTCGCGGGGGCGGGTATCGGTATCGGTTCGCGTCTGGGGACGGTGACGTGGACGGGAGGCGGGGAAATTTATGATCGGAGCAGCTTATTAACGATTTCTTGTGGAATCATCGTTGGTTTTTATTCAAAGAACGCGGCTCGGTGGGAGGCTCTCCGCGCTCGAGTAGCTACGGAAAATTGGCGGCCTTCGGCCCGTAACCTTGGCACTGATATTATCGAGTTCGGGAAAGGGCCCAGGGTAGTGCCGTGTCGTAGGCGGAGGGGCGAAGGCTTGCGAAGGGAATGATAGTGGCCGAGGGGACGAGACGGTAAGCGATAGCTCTTAAAAGTAAACGCGCTGTCCCATTCCGCTCGAGCGTCCCACTGCTCCGTCACAATCCGTATTTCGTTCGACTACACCGTCATCAGCCGTCGTCATCGGCGATCAGTGCTCTCGTATGGCCGAGCGGTGGTACTTTTCACCGGTTGTATTTATTTCGTCGGCTTGCTCGTTAGACGTCGAGTACGGAACTACGGAAAATGTGAGCTCAACGGTTGGATTAGATAGCCTAGGGTGCATTATCGGCCCTGTATTTGTTTTAAATCCCCTAATGCAGAAATTGCACGCTCATCTATGCTCGCGCCACGAGATTGAAAGTGGAGATAAATCAATTAATGCCGTTCATACGACATTCCAAATTGCTCTTTCGCGTTTGGTGTAAAGGACAAAGAGTAGGAGGTCGGAATAGATTATAATGCAAGTATGGGGCGAGGGTTTTCCTCCTGATGATAATCCAATTCCGTAAGTAAGTGGACGATAATTAAGTATGAAAATGGCATTACTGCATAAGTAGCTGAATTATCGGATCGTGTTCAAGGCTCATTGTAGCGTGATGCTATTATGTTTGCTCGTATTTACGAGTACTTAAAATTATCGTAATAGCAGTTTGAAAAATTAACCTATATAAAAATAATATTTATATTTCTAATGGTCGATTAAAAAGTTAATCCGATTGCCAAACTCGGCATTACCATTATCCGCCAATGTCGAAATTTCGAAAAATCGAATTGGCGACTATCGACGATTCCTCTAATACCACGTTGCGAACGACCATTTTGCAAAAAGAACGAGCGACGTTTTCGAATAAACGGGTGAAGAAAAATATGCTGGATGTGACAATCGATATAATTTTTCATTCCGCTTATTCAAGTTGTGAGATTCAATTTTTGAAATATGGATCTCTTAGTCCATTAATATACAAGCGCTTAATAACTAATAAATACTAATAAATTGATAATAGAATATCGCTATTATTCTTTTGTAGCGAAAAAAAAAAAAAAAATAAAATAAAATAAAATAACTAAATAAATAAATAAGTAAATAGCAATGTAAAGAGATTACAAAAAGTAACGACATTTTACTGAAATCTTTAATTATTGTTTACAGCACGTTTGCTATTTCATATACGAAATTTTTTTTTTATTTTTTTTTAATTTTTTTTTTTTTTTTTTTTAAATTTTTTTTTTTTTTTTTTTTAAATTTTTTTTTTTTTTTTTTTTA